AGGGTCGGGCCAAAATCCCAATGGCTGCGCTGCTGGGCCAGCCGCAAATTATGCTTGTCAAAAATGAATGTTGCATACGTAACGTAAGGCAAGAAGAGCTGCAGAGCGAGAAAAGGAGGCTTGAAGGCATTCAGGCTGAGCACCTGCATTTATCTCTTGATAATGTGTACTTTCTTGTATTAAAATCCTTGTTATTTTTGTGATTATCTTAAGCGCTCCTAGGATTCAAAATAATGCTACAAGTGCTTAAAAAAGTACATTAATCGAGCTTGAAAATTATCGATAATTTCGATATTTTAAATATCGAGAAATGGCAAACTGTCGATATTTATTAAAGCTCTAACAGAAATCATCTTTTTTATCAGTATCATCTAAAATCTTTTCATTTTAAATATCGAAAAATAAAAAAGTTTCAAATTTTTTAAAAGACTCAAAAAAAAACCCTAAATTTTAAAAATTTCCTTTGAAAGTGATTTTAAAATCCTTTTTATTTCGGTGACACTAAACTTTTCGTCGTCAGATCTCAAAATCATCAGACCAAACTACTGTGTACTTCACCACATTAACAGGTGACTCTCAAGACACATTTTCTCTCCGTGCACCTAACGAGTGGGTGGGCTCCCTGCCAGAAAAAGCCACAAAGTGCGACTGAGAGGGGTTTTGCGGGGGAGGAGGTGCGGGAAAGCGACCTCGCCTGCTAGAAATCGCAGCAGTTTGCGGTTGTCGTCATCGGCGTACGTGCTCGATGCGTGGCAATCGGATTCCCCCGAGGGTCCGGGTCCGCACATGGCCCGCGTTTCCGTACTACGGACTACGGACTACACACAACACACTGCACACTACAGCCAAACCAAGCCAAACCAAACCAAACCGAAGCCGAAGTCGGTGCCAACGGGCTCTCGACTCGAATTCGAGGCCCGCTCCTTGGCCTCTCGCCTGATTCTGCTTCTGATTCTGGGTCTTGGTGGTTTCTGGCCAAAATCGGATGTGCTGCCACCGTTGGAGAGCTCGGCTCGGCCGGAGATGCAGATGACGCTGACGTGGATGCTGACGCAGATGCAAGGGCAACTTTTGACTAAATGGGCTGCGAGTGCATTAAGACGAAAATGTTATTACAGCCGGGCACTGAACAAAAATGTACATCACTTTGAATATTTTTTAAAAAACTTTTAATGGGCAAGATCTCTAAAATTGATTTTTATTTCTTTTTTGATGAATGCAAGTAGCAGAGCAATAAAATATGCCCTGTCAATCTCTTTATAAAATTTTTGCACACAAAAAAAACACGTCGCGGTCAAATCGATATGCGCATGGCAAATTTCTGGCATAACGGGACTTCGAGATAGCGCTAAAAGTTAAAATTTATACTACATAACGTAAAATAGATCTTCGTTTCATGTCATTCACTTCACTTCATATTTTTGGGTGTATGTAAAATCATTTCACTGACATCAAATGTTATTTTCCAGGCGGCAGATCAAATTTAATTTTCCAGTTGACACCAATCATTTTGACACCAATAATTCCCCTCAGTGCACTTCCTTCGCAGTCATTATTGAAGCATTTGTAAGGTGGCTGTGGCACTGGGAAGCGGAGATTAGGCGCGGAAATGCTGTGAATGTTCGTTTGGTTATCGCCAGCAAACATTTCAAAATGGCTATGGCAAAAGTCGGAAATTTGATATGCCAAAAACCGTTTACGATCAACAAGTGATAGGAGCGGGGGCCCGTGGCAAATTATGCAGATTGGCTGGAAGGGGATAAATGGGGAAAGGGGAGGGATTCATAGAGGAAAGACCTAGGATATTGAGGAAGTTGGCTGCAATGTTTGGCGAGAACTTTCCATCAAGTGCGCAGGAAGAGACATTGATTTGACTGCAGCGAAGTTTTCCATTATGGAAATGTCATCAAATCGATTTTCCTTTTTTGCGCCATTTGTGTGTGTGCCTGTTTGTTTGTTTGGCCTTGTTTTTGTTCTTGTGCGGCTGTAATGACGGTATGCTAAATGGTAAACGGCATTGGCAAATGGGGATTGCAGCTTCGAACATATATGTAAAAGCACTTTGTTTTTGGTTTTATTAAATTTATTCATATTTCTCTTTGTGTTCTTTTGTCTGTTACTCGTATTATTACTGTAATAATAATAATTATTATTATTCCATCTATGTTAATATAGTGTGTAATAAAGCTTGACAATCTATTAATGCTATTACAATGTATTCTCGGTTATATTGTTTGTTAAACGTTGGCTGTTGGTTTTTTCCGGTCTGTCATGTCCGTGCGTGTCCGCATCCGTGTGTCTTGTCGACAACTGTACCGTTTCTCGTGTTCCGTGTCCTGTGTCCTGTGTCCTGTCGCAATGTTTTGTATTTATAAATGCGTATACGAGTTTACACTTTTGCTCGTTCGTGATGGATTCTGTGTTTGTGTGATTCTGATTCTGTGTGGCTCGTAGGATTTGGCTAATTTCAGCTTTTTTCGAATGGAATTCAAGTTAAAATGCAATATGCAATGCGTTTTTATGGTATTGTACAAAATTTGTTACTACTATTCATCATTCGAATTTAATTTATATTTCTGGGCTGGCCAGCACTCTCTGCAGCGCTCATAAAAAGTTAATTTTACCGCTTTTTCGCTCGTTTTTCGGCCCTCAATGGATGCCACACGCAGATGCACAGATGCAGATGCAGATGCCCGGATTCAGATACATTTCGCATCTAGGTATCTGGGTATCTGTATCTGAATATCTGGATCTGTGTGTGCCTTCCATTTGCATTCAAGCAGAGTAATTAAAATCATAGTTACGTTTCCATCTCCGTCCGGAAAAACGCGTGGCGCGGCGGTCGCGGAAAAGTGGGTTTTGGGATGGGAAATGGGAAACGCTGTGTTAAAAGCATAGTTTAAATTTCCTCTAGTCGCGGGGGGGGCTCTTACTATTCTCATTACCCATTACTCTATTTGCGTGTTTACACTTGTCTTTTGCTCTCGCTCTGTTTGGCGGTTTCCATTTGGTTTTAATTAGTTAAAACGATTTAAAATGAATAAAATATTGGCTCTGTCTGCGCGCGAGTATGATGTAATTAAAATGGCCTATGTACAGGGTTGTATCTTTTTTCTGTTTTTGTGTTTCAAATTCAGATACCGTCCATTAGAGCGGACAAATAATGCTTTGATTGAATCATTCATTCTGCGCTGTCAAAAATGAGGTACGCAGGGAAAAACGGGGGATTCAAACTAGAATGCTCTGTTTGCCGTGTTTTGTGTGCGCCGTGCAAATTTGCTCTGGTTCAGTTCATAATACCAAAATACAAAAATCCCTTCGCTCGACACTCGACACACATTAAACAACAACAGCGATAAAACAAATAAACGGGGCAACTACGGGGTAAGGTGAAGGGGTAAAAATCTCATGAAAGTTGTGCAAATATTTGCCTGCATACTTTCCCATAATTATTATAGTAATTCATTGCATTCATGTGTTTAATTATTCCGCACACACACGCACTCGCACACATACATTCATCATGCTGAAAGGGGGCGGTGAGTGGTCAGTGGAGTGGAGTGGGCGTGGTCATGTAAGTGGAATTTATCGTGTACTTATATTGACTTCTATAGCTTACTTTTACATTACCAAGCTCGAATTTGAAACTTTCTACAGACACAAAAAATCCATTTAATGCGGCCTCCGTTCCTCTTGTGTGTTCTCCCTATCTCTATCCCCCTCTAAGTACAGAGATCTCGATAAATGTTTACATACAATATATAAGATATACACATCGATATAGCCTCGCTCGGGTCGTATTTGTTTTTGCATTTCTTTCTACATTCAGATTACACACAAGTACAAACATATGCAGATGTATATATATAGATATATATGTTACGTAAGTTTTAATGTCGTACTTTATTTAGATTTAGCTTTTGGTCTACTTGCAGGATGAGTTCGAGTGAGCAAAACGAGGAGGAACTAGGATTTAAGACTAAATAATAGGTACTAGGTGTGTTCAGCAAATCCTACGGTCTCGTAATCGAAAATGGGTCTCTAACAGGTCTAAACAATCGATGGCGGTTAACAGGTTTAAAACAGACTTTAAAAACATTTGGCACGTGATATATGCGATACTTTCTCGGATAGTGAGCGTAAAATTATTTTGATTTAAAATTCCTTATGCCATTAGGAATACATTTACATATGTACAAGAAAGGAACTAGTTTACGGGGCTTTAGGGGGCTAAAAACTAGATAAAGTATTTATATATCCATTGCACATCGAAGATGGTTATGTGGGCGTATATATGTGGGTCATAATAGAATCTGGCTAACATTTTTCATATAGATGCATATCTAGAGATACATAATTCCGGCTTCTCCCCGCACATCCTATACCATTTCTAAGCCTATTCAGTGTCTGATCTCTAAAACGTTAATGGATACTCTAGCACCCCAGAGAAGCATTATGTCTAAGAGTCGACCAACTATGGATTACGCATATGGATTATCGTACTATACACCTTATGAAGATCAGTTTTGGTCGCTATACCCTCTAGAATCGACCTCTATAAAGGTACGGACTTCAAGTGGACTACTATCGAATGCTAGCTAGGATTGGGACAGTATGGAGATCTCTAATGGAGTATTAATTAGAAGTATATATACTTTAACGGTATCTAGTCTGAGAGTGCAATCCGAATGGAAAATAAAGGTTATCTCTGCTTGCCTCGCTGTTAACTCAATGTTCTCAAATTCTATATGATTTTGATTGGGGCTTTGAGGACAGTGCTATTTGGATTTTCAAAATAAATAGGGAAAGTAATTTAATAATATAAAATCAACTCAATAGAAAAGAAATAAGAGTAATAATAAAATATTTGAAGGTTTAAAAAATATATAAGATTATAATACAAATAGAAACAAACTGATAAGTAATAAATAAAGAAGTAATACATACGTAATCAGGTTTAAAATGAAAATCCAAATAATCCCGTCCACGTTTCATTTTGATTCTGTGTGAATTGCTCTTTGGTTTCAAGTTCTTCAGGATGTTGTGATGCAGTCAATAGATTGTGTGGGTTTCTACATGTACAATATATTCATTTCAAGCACTCGCTTCTCAAACTGATATGAACCGGGGCCTTTGGGGGGACGACACGAATCTATTGACGTATTTACACCTGGGTTCCGTAATACTAGAGCGACACAAACTCGCCAGGACCGCCGCCGCCTTGGTCCTGGCCCTGCGACGCCTCCTGCGGCTGGTGAAGATCTTGCGACTGCTCGGCGATTCCCTGGGATTGACCATCCGCCTGACCGAAGAGCGTCTCGCTCTCGTCGGGCAGGGAGAGGGTAGACCCGCCCAGACCTCCGCTCGCCGTGATCCGCCTGCCCATGTTGTCGTACTTGGGGTAGGCGGAGCTGTCCAGCGGCCGCATGGGCGTGACCTCCACGGGCGGCGTTGGGCAGGCGGAGGGCGCATTGCTGATGCAGCTGGCGCAGTTGCTGGGACTCGGGTGGTGGCACTGCACCACCGCTGTGACGGCGGGTGGTGGCGGCGGAGGAGGCAGCTCCATGGCGTTGCTGTGGTACGCCGACTGGTGGGGATCGTAGCCACTGGCCTCCAGGTTGTAGGTCACGATTTCATCATGGGTGTAGAGTTGCTGTTGCTGCTGATGTTGCTGCTGCAGTTGCTGCTGCTGCTGCTGTTGCAAGGAGCTGTCCTTCTTGAGAATGCCCCTCCTGGCTGCGTGTCGCGGCAGAGTGGCAAACTGACCCTCCGGCACGGCCACCGTGCCACCAGCTCCACTCTCCTGCACATCCTGCATCCGCTTGGGAATGTTCAGCAGATCCGGATACATGTTCAGGTCCGCCCCGTCCAGCATGTCCTGGGTGACGGAGACGCGGATGAAGATATTCCCCCCGAAGGCGGGATTCGGCACGATGTTCGAGCAGAACTCCGGCGGCGGCGGGAAGACGCCCACGTTCAGCGGGAACTCCTCGGAGATCTGGGCGGGATGCGAGTGGGTGTGGCCGGCCATCGAGGTGGGCACGCTCATCTGCTGTCGCATCCCGGGACCTCCCTGCAACTGCTGTTGCTGCTGTTGCTGCTGCTGTTGCTGCACCAACATGCTGCCATGCCGGTGACTCTCCACCGCGTGGATCTCGATCTGGTTGAAGCCCATCCCCGCCGAGTCCGCCTTGTTCAGGCCAATGGAGGTGGGCTGGTTGTCGATGCCGTAGCTATCCCCCCGATCATTCGTGGTGGTGGTCACGCTGGAGTCCAGGAGTTTCTTCTCCTGGTCGTTGAAACTCACACTCGACTTCACGCCCGCCTTGTTGGATCCATGGCGATGCTGCCGCGTGGTGCGCTTGCACAGGCAGACCACGAACGAGATGGAGATCAGCAGGAAGACGGTGCCGAAGATGCCCATGATGAGGCCAAAGTACCAGAAGGTCTCGGGCGTCTTCTCCAGCACGTGCTGAACGATCTCGCTGAGGTAGATGCTGATGTTCTGGGTCATGCTGCCAATGGAGTTCGAACCCGTGCAAGCATAGGTGCCCGCATCCAAACTGGTCACGTTGAAGACGGTGAGGTTGCTCCACAGCTTGTCCGACGAGATGCTCTCCGTGTCGAACAACACGTTGTCATTGTCCAGGATCTTGCCGTTCAGCTCCCAGGCCACCTCGGGCAGCGGATCCCCGTAAACGAGGCAGCTGAAGGTAGTATTACTGCCTATGTCGATGTTCTGCACCTCCTCGTTGTTGAAGATCTCCACGCGCGGCGGGCAGCCGAAGAGCTCGTCGTCCACGCTGTCCCAGGAGCGGTCCTTCTGGGCCGGCGGACCCTTGCACACCAGGCTCACGGAGCTCAGGCGACTGGTGACGTACCAGCCGCGGAACTTGCGCAGCTTGCAGTTGCACTGCCACGGGTTCTCCTCCAGCGAGAGCGTCTTCAGGTTGGCCATGTGCTGGAACACGTACTCGCTGAGGCTCTCCAGCAGGTTGTTCTTCAGGTTGAGGAACTCCAGCAGGTTGAGGTTGGCCAGGGACATCGGATCGATGTACGAGATCAGGCAGTCGTGCATGTCCAGCGTCCGCAGGTGGGGCAGAATGGGAAACTGGTAGGCGGCCAGCCGCTTGAGGGGATTCCCGTTCAGGTAGAGGATCCTCAGGCGATCGTTCCCCATGAACGTGTCCTTGTCGAGCATCTCCAGCTTGTTGTCCGACAGGTCGATCTCCACCAGGATTTTCAGGTTGCGGAACGACTCCTTGTGGATGTACTGCACCTCGGACTTCTTGAGGTAAATGCGCTGCAGGTTCAGCAGTCCCAGCGTGGAGAACTCCTCCCGGTTGAGATACGGAATGTGGTTGTCGTTCAGCACCAGCACCTGCAGCTCCGTGCTCAGCGTGCTCGGAATGGTGGTCAGCTGCAGCGAGCTGCAGATGGCCGACTTCTTGCCGTTCGTCCACTTGCAGGTGCAGTTCGAGGCGCAGCTCAGGGACCAGTCGTCCGCCAGTGTCCAGGCCACCAGGCACAGCAGAATCCAGCAGACTGAAAGGAAACGGGGGAAGTCATTATTTTACTAACTAAGAAGTAATCTGATTTGACTTTTATAAATATTTACTCTGGATAAACCACAGGAATGCTATAATAATTCAGGTCACCAAAAACAAACTTGACAAACTGTTTTAATCGGTCAAGTTATAAAGTCACCAAGGTAAGTTTTATATTACTATTGAAGAAATCATAATGAAGGATTACAATATTAAGAGTCTAAAGAAGTCTATACAATAGCATTAAGTATCCAAAATCCTTCTGGGTATACCTTAAAAATACTATGTATAATTTAAAATAAAAACAAAAGTATACAGAATGGGGTTTTTAATGGACAAGTTATAAAGACACAATGTTAGGGCTTGTATTACTATCAAATAAATCAAACTAAAGGAGTAGAATATATCACGTTCACCCCAGAAACTCCATGCATAATTTGGGTCACCAAAATCAAACTTTAACTTATTATCAAAATAAAAAACAAAATAATATGTCTTCCGAATGGTGTTTTAATTGTTTAAGTTATAGGGACAAAAAGTTAAGGTTTGCATTACCAAACACTGTTAAACAAAGAAAGGTAAAGGATTAGAATATAAATATTCTAAAGGAGTCTTTACGATAGCATTATCAAAAATCCCAAAAGTTATGAGCATTTAAAGCAATAGTCTCTAAAAACTAAAGCAAATATCAGCATCTAAAGAGTTTTTACGTTAACATGAAGCAGCAATAAATCCCTGAATAGTTGGGAAATTAAATTGAAATAAGGCTTTAAGAAAACTTGCGTGAAAGCAGTTCTTTTTCTTCTGTATTGACCATATATTTGAGAGCGTGGCACCAGCTGCCTGCGGATGACAACTCACCTGGCAGAGCCTTGGGGTTCCTGCTCCTCCTGCTGCTCTTCATGATGCTGCGGTGCATATGGCTTCCTTTGGAGCTCCTGCTCCTGCTGCTCCTGCTGTCGATTTTGCACGACCCTGGCAATTGATGACCCTAAATGGCTTTGGCTGATTCGATTGCCATGTTTCACATCATGTTGCCGCCGCCAGCAAAAAGGTCTCCATTACTCCACATTACTCAGCACTTTGGCCACACTTCTTCGGCACTATTGATTTTGCTCGCTCCCTCGGTTCTGCTGAGTTCTTTTCTTTTAATTCGCTTCGAGTGGAAAGTTGGTCCTCTGGGGTGGTGGTGCCTCTGGTATCCTTTTAAGAATTCTTAAATCTGTAAAATGTAAAAGAGAATCCGGTATTAGCGTGAGCGGCCCAACAATGCCCATTGTATATTGTATAGTTGTGTAGTTCTAGTTGTGCTCGCTGCACCCACACTTGGCCCATTTGTAATCTCTGTTTACCGAGTTCGGCTTTGGCTTTGGCCTCTCCCTTTGAATAGAGGACTCCAAGGGCGGTGCCAAGTGGCCGGGGCTTTAAAATCGCCTTTCAACAACATTTTGTAATTTGTTGTACGTCCAGCTGGACGGCACAACAAAGCGGCAACCAAAACCCGCAGGGGCACAGGCTCAAACTCAAACTCAGGGCATTCCCCATGCCCAGCTCCACTCTCATTCTCATTCTCATTTTCATTGGCATCGACATCTCGGCATTGGCATCGGCATCTTTACAAAATCAGCATCAATAGCCTGTCGAATGCTTTTTACTTTTGTACTCCCGCCCCTCGGGTTTTTTGTTTGTATTTTTTTTTTGAATGAAAAGGAGCGGGACTGAACTGGAAAAAAGCCAACCAGGAGCGGTCCTACGTTGGGAGGGCAAGTTAATCATTCACTGGGCTTTAAAATGGTATCGTTGTAATTTAAATGTTGGAATATTTGCCACTTGGAAGTACCTCAAACTATTTGATATATTAATTTTAATGCATTGCATTAGGTTGACCCTAAAAAAACGTGATATGAAACGATGATCGGTTTTACGTTATGTAGTATCAATTTTAAGCGCTATCTCGCTCTATTTTGAATTTAGAGAGTTTGTACTCTTTTTCGAAGTCAGGGAATCTCCAAAAGAAAGATTTCGGTAAAAACGATATGCGAATGCAATACCAGAAATTTACCACGCGCATATCGATTTGACTTGCGTTTTTTTGTGTAGGAATGTTAGCTTTCTGCTGCATATTACACTTTTCAACCCTTTAAGCCAACTTTATTCCACTGTGTAATGCTCCTTTCTAGCGTAAAAGTAATTTAGCTCAACGAAAATGCCTAATTTCACACAATCTACACCGCACTTACTGTTGCCAACCGAAGTTGGGCCACATTCGCTTTGCCCTCAGGTTTCCTGGATCCCCAATTCACTCCCTTTGCTCCTTGGATCCACAGCACCCACCACCGCATAAGGATGAATCCGCTCCGCTGGCAAACTAAGAGATACAGACAGACAATGAAAACGTAAAAAGCTCAAAAGGTTCATTTGTCAATTTGCCATTTGAATTTGTATTTGAGAATTCACTTGGCCGCTTTTGCGCTTTGTCCTTATGGCACCCAACCACCCACCAGGACCTCTCCCCCCTCCTCCCCCTCGAAAGGGAGGACCCACAGAGCCAGGCCAAAACCTTGGCAGCCTCAATTTCTGCTCATCGCTCTCGTTGCTGGCAATGCGGATAATATTTCCTGTGTCAGTGCAGCAGCAGTTGGCAGTTGCAATTGCTGGCTTTCCCTCAGCCTCAGACCGATTTTCCACTTTTCCTCGCCCCCAGTATTTTCCACTTTCCTACCAATCGTCGACAGTTTTATTTTTTCTGCTTTATGAGCACACAGTTAGAAAAATGCAAAATCATTTTTCTGTATTCCCAACTGGGAATCGGGTAGATAAATAATGCAGTTCGATCGTTAGAAAATTATATCTGTTCGAAACTGCTCTCAATGTATTTGAGAAAGTCTTATCTTTATTATATTCTTCCATACTTTTATATAGATTCATAATGAAGTAGATAGTTTTAAGACAGGTAAAAAAAAGTATAATATTGTTTCACATTGAATCGGAACTAGTTCCACATTTTAGTTTACAAATAAAGGTTTATTTGATAACAATACTTGTATGATTTTTTCCTCACGCCTCATTAAATCTTAAAAACTATCTTGTATTTAAGACAATTTTTCGCAGTGAAAAGAAATGGGGATAGAGGCACTTAGAGGGCACTCTGGGCTGGAACCGCATCGGCACTCACAGGTTCGTTGATATTCATAAATGTGGCACAGTGGACCAAAAAAGCAAAGCTAATTTGATGGCCAATTGCCAAAAGGAGGCCAGCCAAAGCGCGCAACAATATTAAAAAAATATTATGGACGAATATGTTGCGAAAGGAGCGACTGCAGCCGCAAGTCGTAAAGCAAATCAATTAACTGATGCTACACTGGGATGTCTATATATATAGAAGATGGCCCAGAAAGATATGGGTTCCCCGACATTCTGCATTTTCGCTCTGCCAAAGGCAGACGTATAACGACTACGAGTCCTGCGATCTCGGATTTCTAGTCTCTGGTATCTGGTATCTGGCTAATCTGCCGGAATGGCCAGTAATTGTTAACCTGTAAACGAAGGACTTGGCAATTGCCAATTTGATTTCGAATCCAATTCAAGATAATCTGCGGCAGTTTAGCTGCAAATTGATTTCGGGTTTCAAGTCCAAACAGATGCAACAGTGCGTATGACCAATTATATGGCAGTAAATTAAGAGGACTGGGTGCTCGGAGAAATCAAAATTGAAATCTAGTTGGCTTAATGGAGCATTTATTTATGCTAGAATGCAATTAAATAAAGAAAACTATCCTTTTAAAGGGACTAATGTGATGCCAGTAATGGAATTCAGTGGTTAAAGAGTAATTCTTAAAATCCCGACAGGATGCGATGAAAAGTCCTTGTCAAATTGAGCGACAGAAATTAATACTTTCTGCAAACATATGTGCACATTGTTGGCTGAAATGCAGTTATGCAAAATGAAAAGAATCGATTATTACTGAATCAAAAAAGCCTTGCCACTCCGTTGCACCCGAATTAATTATGTGTATTAAATATTACCCAATAATTCTGGACTTTAAAATCTCTGGGAGACAATCCACCTACTATAAATTGCGATTTTTAGTTGGCCACGCTTTTTAGCGCTTCTTTTTTTGTTGGCTGACCGTGTACAATTCCATTTGACAATTGAAATTCAATTTCAATTTTTAGCTTGCCCGAAAGTTAACTAAATGTCCGCCCCTCGCAGAGCGACCACGCCTCGCTCATTTGTAAAACTTCATCAAATGTAATTGTCGGAAAACAGCAAAAAGTCCTTGTCCAGGACTAACAATTGGAGGCCATGCTCCGTGCTGCATTACCAAATTAAAAACAAAAACTAAACTAACTTTTCTGCTTTTTTTTCCTTCTCCCTTCATTCCGATTTTTTGCCCAACTTTTCTTCTTTCGCCTTCACGGTGCGTAGCCATGGGCGTAGGTTTTCAGGGGGCAGCAGGGGGCGTTCCCTTTATATATTTTTTTAGATTATGCAAATGCGACGGGACAATCTATTTGTTTATGTAACCAATCGGTGACAGGTTTAGTATTTATGGGGAGTCGCTGTTTTGATAAGATAAAGGGTTGTTCTAACGTGTCCACTGTCAATCAAAATATTTAAATATTTTGCAGAAAAATAGACGAAATCTGTTAAAAATATTAAGAATTAAAAAAATGTTAAAAGGTTCAAGCAATATATGACTGACTTTTCGACTTTTTATATGAACATTCTTTCGAAAAATACTTAAATATTATGTTTAAAAAATATTCTGAAGAGAAAATAATAAAAATATTTTTGTAATTGTTGATGATAGCCAAGTTTTATTTTAATTTTTGGGACTCCGAAGGTGTAGGTTCATTATTAGTTTAAATCTTTATAGAAATTCTAGTAACTTTTCGATTGTTCTTCAATTTTCTTCAACCTCCGGGGGGACTTAGATCTAAGAATCCCCCTCAGTCTAAGCCTCTGCGCGTATGCAAATGGTTTCTTTGCCGCCTGGATGAGCACTTTCCGCCACCCCCTGCCGAAACCATCCCACCCACCACTCCTGCCACGCCCACCTGCCGCCCATCCTGGCTTTCTCCAATTGTTTGGCTGTTGCATAAGCACGTGCGAATGTGCGTGCAAATGCAAATGGCGATAGAAAACTTTTTAAATTGAGCAAACATTAACAAAAAAGGCAAATCCAGAAGTGGGTGGCAACTTTTCCGGGGGCAGTGGAGGGTAAAGGGGGCGGGGCACTTGCATGGCAAATACAAATAAGGAAAGTGAAGCAAAAAAAAACAGCAGGGGCAGGTTGCTCTTATCGCCTGTCATCGGGTGGTGGCCTATTTGTTTTTCCCAGTTAAGACCAAAGACTCGCCAATCTTTCAAGGACAAAGTGTAAATTGCAAACTTGGATCCCCGAAGGATCCAAAGTGGATCGGGGCGTCCGTCGAGCCAGAGCCACAAATCCGCACATAATCGGAAAATGTCACAGAAAAACAGAAAGGGAGAAAGGAGGGAGCAGGGAGAGGGGAGTGGAAAAAAACAAGCAAAATTAATGGCACTCGAAGCGCCGCCAGGCCAAGATTAGATGCCGCTGACGTTGACCGTGTTGAGTTTTATTGCCGCCCGGAAATGGTTTTCATAAATACACAAAACTCCGCAAACAGCGAGGACGAAGGACCAAGATGGCAGCAGCAGACACTTATGGACGGGGCAATGCAATTATCTTGGGGGCAGAGTGCAAGTGCAGCACATTGTACGTGCGAAAACGAGAAACAGGACATTCGCCTTAGCCAAGCAGCCCCGGGGTTTCCAAGCGGTGGGGTTACCAGGGGGCTGGAGAGGGGGCGGGGCTTCTGGGGGGCAGAAAATGTACGCCAGAGAAGGACATAAACATGTGCCTTGCTCCTGCGTCGACGGAGTGCCAGCAAATGCAATTGTTATTGTTTGCCGTCGTGGCCTTCGCAACGCGGAGCATTGTAAATTTATTATGAGCCGTGCTAGGATTACACAGGAAAGAAATGTTTAAATAAAATGGAAAGGGGTCCCAAGTCCTTAAATACTTAAAATGTCTTTTTAAAATATAATTTATTTATCTTAGAGGACTTATCTTTTAGTACTTGCACTTTTAATAATATTTTTACTTTTCAAACGAACTTAGTTAAAAGATGACTGCGCAGTTTTTTTGTTCTTATTAATACCTATCGAAATATAGAAGAAAGTTTTCAAATCGG